CCCCCCCCCCCCCCCCCCCCAGCAATCTGGGTCCCCATTTTACCCATCTCGGTAGGATGGAAAGCTGAATCAACCATGAGCTGGTCAGGATCAAACTCCTGGCTGTGAGCAGTGAGTCAGCGTCCAGTACTGCATTCTAAAATGCGGTTGTGTGACCACTACGATGAAGTGAATGTGGTGGTCATAAGTGCAAGCCCACAGTTCGCGTTAGGCACGGTTTTGCCAAAACCCAGGAGTAAGTGCCAGTTTTTTTTGTTTTTTGCAAAATCGTCGTAAAATTCAGTCTCTTGACCACAGGCTGCCGCAAACGATCGCAAATGATTGCATTGCCAAGCATCTGAAGTGTGGTTACATGAGCAAGGACCGTGTTGATCGTTGGATCTTTAGATCCAGGTTGTAAGTCGCCCTTTTCGGGCAGGTCATAACTTTGAATGGTCGCTAAGCAGCCATTCGTAAATTGAGGACTGTCTGTATCCCCCTAAGATTTGCTTTCTTCATCAAGAGACATTACAATCCGAAGCATTTCTCTCTTTTGTGTTTCAGGGAATTCACAATGGCAGAAATAGAACATTTTGTGGACCCCAGTGAAAAATGTCACCCTAAGTTTCAGAATGTAGCCGACCTCCACATCCTCTTGTATTCTGCCAAAGCCCAGACCAGTGGGCAGCCAGCCCGTGTCATGCGTTTGGGGGATGCCGTTGAGCAGGTAAGGACTCTGGGGCGTTCTTGTGAACAGGAAAAAAATCCTCTTGACTCCCTTAGTCTTACATTCAGTGTGGAAGGAGAATGAAATCAGAAACAGACAACGCCTGGATTTGTGGAAATGTTCAAGCCATTTGCAACGGAGTTTGAGGAGTTGGACTTCCAGTTCCAGAATCTCTATCCATCATTGCCATCTTCCGCTGGGGTTTAAGCACAGAGAAAACCTGGGCTACGAAACATTGGGAAGGCTGCTTGGCAGCCTTCAGAGAGAGCACGACTGGATGGGGAATTCTGGGAGTTGAAGCCCACATATCTCAAAGCTGCCTTGGTTAAGAAACACCGAGGTAAAATAGTCATGATTGAATACTCCTCATGCCCTAAGGAACCTACATAACGTGTATCTGAGAAGAGATTTCAGAATTTTGAGAGAAAATGCAGAAATCCCTGTCCAGCGAAACTGAGGCGGCAGGGGGATTGGGGTGACATGGTCTAGGGGGAGCATGAGGCAGTCTTCCAGTACTGAAAGAGAAGAGGGGTTCGACATATTCTCCAAGGCAGCTGAAGGCAGGACAAGAAGCAACAGAGGAAAACTAATTAAGGAGAGAACCAGTCTCGAACCAAGGAGAAATGTTCTTAATAGGCAGTGGGAACAATTAATCAGTGGAAAGGCTTTCCCTCAAGAAGTTGTGGGTGCTTCAACACTGGAGGTTTTTAAGAAGAGCCACTTTTCTGGAGTATTATAGTAGGGGGTTGGACTAAAAGACCTCCAGGTTCCCTTCCTGCTCTCTTATTTTGTATTCTACTGGCTAAGAATTTGCGGAATTGCATTGCCAGGATCTTTAGATGCCAAGGATGGGAAGGCTTGGAAGTTCCCTGAAGAAAAGTTCTTCTCCTTTATGCCTCCTTACAGTGCTTGTTCCTTTGAAAAACTTCCTTGCTTCTCTTTGCTTCCCCAGGGTGTTATTAACAATTCCGTCCTGGGCTACTTCATTGGCCGGATCTATCTCTACCTCATCAAAGTTGGCATCTCTCCAGAGAAACTTCGCTTCCGGCAGCACATGGAGAACGAGATGGCTCATTACGCATGTGACTGCTGGGACGCGGAGTCCAAAACCTCCTATGTAAGCAATAGCAATAGTGCTTGCATACCGCTTCACGGTGCTTTATATCCCTCTCTTGAGTAGTTGGCAGAGTCAGCTTATAACACCCCCCCAACAATCTGGGACCTCGGATGGATGGAAGGCTGAGTCAACCTTGAGCTGGTCAGGATTGAACTGCTGGCAGGCAGCAGAATTAGCTTGCAATACTGCATTCTAACCACTGTGCCACCACCCAAATGCCAAGCTTTTGAGTTCTTGGGTGGGAAGCAGAGGTGGATATTCAGCAGGTTCTGACCAGTTTTGGAGAACCGGTAGCGGAAATTTTGAGTAGTTTGGCAGTAGTTCTGGAAAACCAGCAAATGCCCTAAGGAACCTACGTAATGTGTATCTGAGAAGAGATTTCAGAATTTTGAGAGAAAATGCAGAAATCCCTGTCCAGCGAAACTGAGGCGTATCCTTTATACCTGCCACGCCCACCAAGCCACGCCCACAGAACCGGTAGTAAAAAAAATTTGAATCCCACCACTGGTAGGAAGCCCAAGTTGTAGGTGGGTGTGCGGGTGGGTGCATGCATATGTGCATCTTAAGGTGAACTGTTATAAACCTGAGCCTGAAACCTTTTATCCCAAGTGTCTGGAGGTTCTCCATGTCATGATTTGTCTAAAGCGAAGGCCTCATTTTATTCTGTTATTTTTACTTTTCCAGGGTTGGATTGAAATTGTTGGCTGTGCTGATCGCTCCTGCTACGACCTCTCGTGCCACGCCAGAGCCACCAAAGTCCCTCTCGTTGCTGAGAAGCTTTTGAAGGAGCCGATATCCTTTTCTGAAAGAAAGCCACGGCTGTGTTCTGTGGCTGGTTCCGTCCATTTTGACGTGGATGAGCTTTACAAGCCTTCGGGGCCACTAAAGTAAAATCAAGGAACTGCTCTGAGCTAAGAGCTGTGGTTTTTTTTTTTCCTGCGATGCCACCATCAACCTGAAGTGAGATATCAACGATCTCAGTTCAGGTGGTCCTTGATTTATAACTAATTGCTTAGCAATTAATTCAAAGTTACAATAGACCCTGAAAAAGTTTGGATAACCAGATGCCCCCTCAGGCCACGTGGGTGCAAATTGGGCATTCAGCAAGCGGCCCTCACTTGCAACTGTTTGTAGCATCCTGGGGTCACATAACTGCAATGTACTTTTTTCTTTTTTTTGGAAAGCGGTATTTGCTTCTGTTGTTCAGCAAAAAAAAACAAAAAAACCCTGTATAGTGGGTTCGCTTAACATCTGTGATGTTTGCTTAAGGACCACTGGGGGAAAAAAAAAGTTGTGAAATTGGGTACGGTCATGTGGTGACTCGCTTTATGATTATCACAAGTTACGACCAAAATTAAGGTCTCAATTTTGGTCATATGTTGAGGACTACTTTGTGCCCTATGCTGCAGCTAGCTCTTGCCTCACTTCCTTGAATACCAGTGGCTTGTTGGGAGGCTAATCCAGTTCTTTAAAAGTTGAAATTGTCAAATGTTTTGAAAGACTGCATAGAGAAGAGGCAGCTTGAGCAGCTTCTGGGTTTGAAAGTTAATGAATGAATGAATAAATGAATTCTTTATTGGCCAAGCGTGATTAGACACACAAGGAATTTGTCTTGGTGCATATGCTCTCGGTGTATATAAAATATACATTCATCAAGAATCATAAGGTGCAATGCTTAATAGGGTACAAATAAGCAATCAAATCATACTAGAAAACAGTCAATATAAATCATAATAGATGAGAGGGGGGATGAATGGATGAATAGAAATAGATAGATGGACAGATGAAAGAGATATGGATGATAGAAATAGATGAGAGAGGGAAGATGAATGGATGAAGATAGAATAGAATTCTTTATTGGCCACGTGTGATTGGACACACAAAGAATTTATCCTGGTGCATATGCTCTCAGTGTACATAAAAGAAAAGATACATTTGTCAAGAATGATAAGGTACAACACTTAATAGTTATAGGGTTATATAGTCATAGGGTATATAGTATATAGAATATAGTCATAGGGTACAATAAGCAATCAAATCATACTAGGAAACAAAATCGTAAGGATACAAGCAACAAAGCTAAGTCATACAGTCACAAGTGGGAGGAGATGGGTGAAAGTAAGGATGGGATTAGTAATAATAATAGTAATGCAGACTTAGTAAATAGTTTGACAGTGTTGTGGGAATTAGTTGTTTAGCAGAGTGATGGAATCCAGGAAAAACTCCTTGTGTCTAGTTGTTCTGGTGTGCAGTGCTCTGTATAGCGTCGTTTTGAGGGAAGGAGTTGAAACAGTTTATGTCCGGGATGTGAGGGGTCTGTAAATATTTCCACAGCCCTCTTTTTGACTCGTGCAGTATACAGGTGCTCGATTGAAGGCAGGTGGGTAGTATTTTTTTTTTTTTTTTGCAGTCCTAATTATCCTCTGAAGTCTGTGTCTGTCCTGTTGGATTGCAGAACCAAACCAGACAGTTATAGAGGTGCAAATGACAGACTCAATCATTCCTCTGTAGAACTGTACCAGCAGCTCCTTGGGCACTTTGAGCTTCCTGAGTTGGCACAGAAAGAACATTCTTTGTTGTGCTTTTTTGATGATGTTTTTGATGTTAGGTCTCCATTTTAGGTCTTGAGATATGATAGAACCTAGAAATTTGATTTTGTGAAGCCACTGAATAGCTGAAGAAGAGGGGGGGCCTTACAATCCCTAATCAAAGTTTTGCATCTTGAGAAATAATTCTCCACTTACAGCTATTGATTTAGCAACCATTTAAATTTATAACAGCAGTGAAAAAAATAATTTATAATTGGTCCTGTGATCCAGATTTAGGCATTTGGTAACTGACATGTATTTATGATGGTTGCAGTGACCTGGAATAGTATGATCACTATCCCACTATTCCCAGTTGGCTTCCGACAGGAAAGCTGAGAAACTTAATGGGGAAAGCTGGATTCCCTTAACAACCATGGTAAAAAGATTTTAAAACTGGAGCAGCTCACTTAACAACTGTCTCATTTAGCAATGAAAATTCTGGTCCCGGTTGTGGTCGTTAATCGAGGGCTACCTCTGATGGCGTAAAGAGAAGGACATAAAACAAGATCACTTAACGACCTCCTTGCTTAGCAATGGAAGTTCTGCTCCCAATTGTGATCATAATTCGAGGACCCACCTGTGAAAGCGCGAAAGAAAGGGTGGGAAAGATCAGTTTTTAAAAAGTATTTACCTGCCCCATGTGACATCCTATGCACAAACACACTTGCAGTTGGATTCCTTAGCGCCACCTGTACAGAATCGCCAACGTGGTTCAGTTTGAAGCCAACAAGGGAGCCATAGGAAAGGCATACAAGAAGGATGCCAAGCTGGTGCTGGAGTATCTTGCCATCTGTGATGAGTGTTACATCAGTGAGATGGAGACACAGCTGAGTGAAAAAGGGTAAGCTGAGCCTGGCAGATCTCGGTCTCCTTGGGAATCGTGTGAGTCAAGGATTTTTAAACCCAGCATTCCAACAGAATAAATGTGGAAATCCGGCGCGATTCTATGGAGTTGAATCTTATTAGTGGCCTAGAGGTGAATCTTATTAGTGGCCTAGAGGTGAACTTGGTTTCCACCCAGGAGGTTGAGAGTTCAATCCTAGGCAATGGCAGACGTTGCTCTATTAGGGAGAAAATATCTGCTGTGAACTCTGCATAGGAAGGGCATCCGGCCAATAAATGCTCACGCTCCATTCAAGTTGCCCCAGCTCCACCCCAATGCAAGGAATTATGGGGTCGTAAAAAGAAAACATTCTCTTATTTCACAATACTTATTGATGGATCTTCGTGGCGCCTTTCAGAGAAATGATAATAAAACCAGTAACAATAACCAGCAGTCACCAAGTGACTTGCAAGAGCAGCTTCTTATAAAGAAACCTGCAGCCACCTAAGAGTGAGCTGACGCGTGTGCAAGGCACAGTTGTAAGAACTAATTAGGTTTTGTTGGTGCAACGAATCTTTAATTGGAATCTCTGCTTTTGAGGAGCCTAAATTTCTTCTTAGCATCAGAGTGCATGGATTGCAACCTCCATCACCAGTTCCTTGTTGCGTGTTTATTTATTTACTAACTAACTAACTATTCCTTTCATCTCACTGTCAAGCTAGTCTGGGTGTCTTACAGCATCATAGAAGCATAATATAAATAAAACAATGAAAACATCATCCCAAAGGTGCATTTTTTCCAAAAGGCAGTTGGACTTTCTTGGTTTTTTTCCCCCTCCTCTTTGAAAACATTTCACTTCTCATCAATGAATTGAAGATGCTACTTGAGTGAACAGCGAAATATTTTTTAAAGAAAAAACAAAGTCTTTTAGAAAAAGCACCTTTGGGACCACCATGAACTGAATGATTTAAGAATCTCTATAAACATCAACAACGTTAAAACATTCTGCAATAAGAATTGAAACACTAACATTAATAAAAATCTAGATAAAAAGGGGCCGATAGGTAAACAGGTGGGATCTTCTAATCTACTAACCTCCTCCAGAGTGGGAGGCGCCCATGGGGACTCCAGTCAACTGGCCCAACCTTCTTGGCCTGCTAAAAGGGCCAACAAGATTTTAAGGCCCCTTTGGTAGGCCAAGAAGGTTGGGCCAGGTCTCCCCTCAAATGACACAGTATCCCAGGATGGGACCCACAAGAGGAAAAACTCTTCTGGATCCCCCGGCCAGAATTCCTTGACCGACAGGGACCGTGTCATGCCGCTTCTGTTGGCAGGTGAGGGCAGGCCAATCCCATTGGGGTGAGGATGTTCCTCAGGTAGCCATAAAGGGCTTTCAAGGTGATCACCAATGCCTTGAATTGGACCCAGAAGGAAACTGGCAACCCATATCGATCACATAATAATGGTGTCACACAAGCCGCTCCGGAATTGTCAGCCCTCTGCATTGTGTATCAGCTGTAGCTCCCCAAATATCCTTTTAGCTCCATAGTTCAGCATCCTTTTGACACCCCTTTCTCTCCCTGATAGGGAATTTACAATTGAGACAGAAGGGAAAACCTTTCAGGTAACAAAGGACATGGTCAACGTGAAGAGATTCCAGAAAACCTTGCATGGTAAGTAGAGCTGCTTCAAGCTGAAGTTCCAAAAATCACCTTCAGGGGGCAGCAGAATGTTACAATTCCCTTTCTTTCTTTCTTTCTTTCTTTCTTTCTTTCTTTCTTTCCCTCCTTCCTTCCCTCTTTCTTCCTTCCTTCCTTCCTTCCTTTCTTCCCTCCCTCCCTCCCTCCCTCCCTCCCTCCCACTTCCTTCCTTCCTTCCCTCCCTTCCTTCCTACCACCTAAGGACACTGATGATAAAAAACTTTTCAAACCTTTATTGTCAGAGTACAACATGTGTACAATGAGATGAGCCTCCCATGGTGCACCCCCAACACAATACAGTTCCCAGTGAAAGACGGAAAATCCCTAACCCAGTGAATCCTCCTAACAAACACACAATCTTGTTGCACCATGTGGACTTACTGCACGTCGTGCCGGCCCCGCAAGTCACTCGTACTGTGTTATTGTAAAGTTATTTTCCGTTCCAGAGTCTTGACAGCCCACGGATAAAGCCTGTTCTTCAGCCTGTCTGTGTGGCTGCCTGTGCTTCTATATCTCCATCCCGAGGGTTGTGAGTCATTCCAAGTTTAAAACAGTCTTAAACTTGGAAACGTACATAGTTTGTTTGACCTTTGCCTCTTGTTTCCTAGTGGAAGAGATTGTCCCCAACGTGATCGAACCTTCCTTTGGGCTTGGAAGGATCATGTACACGATATTTGAGCATACATTCCACATCAGGGAGGGAGATGAACAGCGAACGGTAGGATTTCTTTCTAAGGCATTGACCTAGGGAACCCTGAATTACAGGTAGTCCTCAACTTATGACCACAGTGAGGCCCAAAATTTCTGTCGCTAAAGCAGGACAGTTTTTTAAGTGAGTGTTACCCCCATTTTGCGGCCTTCCTTGGCACAACAGTGGTTAAGGGAATCCTTGCAGTGGGCAATGATTGTTGAATGAATCTCACTTTGCCGATCAGAAGGTTGCAAAAGGGGTCATGGGGTGACCCCGGCATCCTGCAACCGTCGTAAATATGAACCAGTTGCCAAGTTTCTGAATTTTGATCATGGGTCTGTGGGGATGCCGCAACCTTTGTAAGTGGGAAAAATGGTGATGTCACATTTTTCAGTGCCCCTGTAATTTCAAATGGTCACTAAATGAAATGTAAGATGAGGACTACCTGCGCTTATTAGATTTTTAACCTGCCTTCATTGCTTTATAAATGGATCAAGTGATGAAAAGACGTATGATCCCTGCCTCCTATTTCCCCCAAAACAACAGTCCTGTGAGGTGGGCTAGGGTGAGACAGAGGGACCGGTCCAAAGTCACCCAGCCGGCTTTCATGCCTAAGGCGGGACTAGAACTCACCGTCTCCTGGTGATTGGCTCAAAGTCACCCAGCTGGCTTTTATCCTTAAGGTGGGATTAGAACTCACTGTCTCTTAGTGAGTGGCTCAAGGTCCCCACCATTGGTTTTCATGATTAAGGCAGGCTTAGAACTCGCTGCCTCCTGGTTTTTAAACCAACATCTTAACCACTATACCAAAATGGTATAGAAATGCAGAAATGCAAAAAGTTAAGGCTATTCGGTATTGTACCATACTGACAAGAGTTGGAAGTAACTGTCTTTTTTGGGTTTTTTTTTATCCCTACACCATCCCTTTGCTCCTTTTTTCCCCTCATCTTTATTTTCATTTGTGTTTTATGATATATTTTCATAACATTTCTTGAAGAGGAATGTTCCAAACAGTCGTAAATCGCCACGCGAAGATATTGATTCTACCAGCTCCCACTTTTTTCTGAGCGGCTGCTTGCTGTTTTCTCTTTGTAACAGTACTTCAGCTTCCCTGCTGTGGTGGCTCCGTTCAAATGCTCCGTTCTTCCTTTGAGTCAGAACCAGGAATTCATCCCGTTTGTGAAGGAACTCTGTGAGTAAAAAGCTTCCCTGTAAATAGTCATGGTCTGAATGAATTGTTTCTGGAAAGGGGACTTGCGCGTAGTCCTTGACTTACGACTTCGATTGAGCCAATTCCATGAATGGCAGAATTCACGTTTTCCTTATTTCAGTCCTAAAACAACCTGTAGAGTTTGCTGTGTTTTTGGGACGCGAGAGGGGCTGCGTTTTTCCAAAGATTTTATCCTGTAAATAAGGCTCTCCTTTACTTACAGAAGCTAAGATTCCTAGCCAGCAATTTGGGGACCCATACTACATTCATCTTTACAGATAGTTCTTGACTTACGACTGGTCGTTTAGTGATCATTCAAAATTAGGAGAAAATTATGACTTGCGATCAAAGCTCTACTGACTGTCCCCCACAATCACTTGATTGCGCAGCGACTGGCTCACATTTATGGCTGTTTGCAGCATCAGGTAGTCATGTGGCCATGATTTATGACATTTTTTTTTTGCTGCAAACAGGCATTTATTTATGGTTTCCAGCAAAAACTGCCCATTATGGATAATGCATTCACTTAAAGAACACAAGTTCACTTAACAATAACGATTCACTTAACTACCACAATTTGTGTGTGTGTATCAGACATAATCATTTGATGACTCACTTAATGTCCATAATTCCGGGCTCAACCATGGTCTTATGTCAAGGACTACCTGTAAGCTTTTCCAGACAAGACAAATCAGTAAGGGACTTTGTATGTAGTAAGGAATCAAGCCTCCACACCTTTTTTTAAAAACCAGCTGAAGCCTTGACCAGAAATGGGGTCTCCCACAAAGTGGATGATTCTTCTGGATCCATCGGCCGGCGGTACGCGAGGACGGATGAAATCGGGGTGGCATTTGGGATTACGATTGACTTCGACACCGTCAACAAAACCCCACACACAGCTACCTTAAGAGATCGCGACTCCATGCGGCAGATACGGGCCGAGGTAAGTTGGCCTGTGGGCAGCAGAGGTAGAGGTGGCTTTTGCACAAGGGTTGGGGGAGTAAAAAAATGCAGAAAATAAAAATATGCCCTTGGGAAGGAAAGTTGGAGAGAGAAAAAAGCCTCACAAACACCCACTCACAGAATCCGTATCCATCTCTATCAACCAGCATTTTTCAACCTGGGCAGCTTTTAAAGACATGTGGACTTGAATTCCCAGGATTCTGGTAGTTGAAGTTCACACGTCTTAAATATAAGTTAGAATTTGCTGCGAGATCTTCTGGATGATGGATGGATTGTAAATATTTCGAATAAAGATATACTGAACTTCAGTGGAGAGGCTAGAAGTCCCCAGGGCTTCCTTGTTGCATCCAGAGAAGGACCAGTTAAGAAAGGAGGTGAAGGCCAATGTGGAGTGCTGAAAGTCACCCTCTTGGGTGGAGATGGCTGGGGGACAGGAGATGCTGTTCTCTCGTGGTGAACGTCTTTGAAGAGCCTAAATCATCCAATTCGCGCTTGTCTCAAAGGTACTTTTCTAAAAAAAAAAAGGTATTTTCCTTGGAAGACGTTTCGCTTCTCATCCTAGAAGCTTCTTCAGTTCTAACTGAAGAACTAAAGTTAGCACCGAAGAAACTTTTTTTGGATGAAAAGCAAAACATTTTCCAAAAAAAAAAAACAACAACGTCCAGTGGTCTTTTGGAAAAGCACCATTGTGTTCTCTGGTGGTGGTAGGTGTGTTTGCCTTGCTGCATCTGGCTTTGTGGGGAGAAATTGACCCCTCTGGCAGTGGTGGGATTCAAAATATTTTGCTACCAGTTTTTTGGGTGTGGGCTTTGCGCGCACATGAAGCGTTCTAAACGGGGCAATTTTAAGCATGATGAAAATTTACCTTCAGCACTGGTGATTAAAATAGCTGAGGCGTGCTATCAGCTGAGCTACAAACAGGAAGTATAGGACAGGAAAAGGGCGGGTGTGGGTGGGCGGGGCCAACTGCTGGGCGGCGCTTCCAGATCGCTAGAAACCAGTGCGAACCAGCAGCATACCAGCTCTGCCCCTGGACTAAGTCCCCGCGCATGACTTTCTTGCATTCTGGAAGAGCCTCAGGGACATGGACGCTCAATCCTGGATTGATCAGTATGTCACCTGTTCTTGCTTTTTTAGACCTCCAATCTACCAGTCCTGGTGGGCGACCTGGCCAACGGCAACATAACTTGGGCTGATGTGGAGGCCAAGTACCCTCCCTTCGAGGGTCAAGAGACAGGCAAGAAGGACGCGATGGAGGTCTGAAGCTAATGGCGGAAAGGAAACCTTGTCACGAAGTCTACTTTTAATTGTCTGCATTAATAGAGATTTTATGATATGTGTTATTTGACATGGCTTTGTTCGCACACCCAGGGCCCCCCCCTGGTTATCCAGTCCCTTAATTCCCATCTCCAATAACCCCAATTAAAATGGCTTAAAACAGACCAGGTTGTCTTAACGGTTGCTGTCTTAATGTCAAGTCTCTCCTTTGTAGGAGGCCACCAGTTTGGCCTAGTGCAAGGATTTCCAAACTTAGCAATTTGTGGGCTTCTTCTCCCAGAATTCCTCAGTCATGCTGGCTGGGGAATTCTGGGAGTTTAAGTTCACAAGTCTTAAATCCGTCAAGTTTGGAGACCCTGGTCTAGTGGTTAAGACATCAAGGTAGAATCAAGAGTTCAAGTCCCATCTTAGCCATGAAAGCCAGGGTTGTTGTTGTTACTGTTGTTGTTGTGGGGAAACTAAGATGAAGGTATGCTGGATATGTTTGCCACCTTGAGTTATTTGTAAAAAATAAATGTGGGGTAAAAAAATAATAACAAATAAAATCAGTTCCTTCCTTAATGTTACCCTGCAGATATTTCTTGGCTTTTGAAGGAAGGAACTGATTTCATTTGTCATTATTTTTTGCCCCACATTTATTTTTTACAAGTCACTCAGGGTGGCTCTTAGCAATTATTTGAAATTCAATCAGACAGCCAGGAATATTTACAATCCAGTTCTGAATTTCTGAGTGCTGCCACCTCCCCAGTCACGTGACCGCAGGTTGATCACAGGTAGGATTCAGCCAGTTCTCACCTGTTCGTCCAAACCTTAATTAATTGCTTATGCAGTTCAGAGAAACGGCTAAAAATAAAGTGCAAGAGTTTTTTTTTTCCTCTCCCCCTTCAGTTAACAGCTCAGGGCAGACAGCCAAGAATAGTTTAACAGCTGGAATGCAGCTATACATCATCAGTCAAGTCAATAAACAACAGGGCAGGGAAACGCATCCATCACCTATCTAGGGATGGGATTAACCTCTTCCCTTCAGGGAGAAGGACATGGTTACAAACATCAGCTGATACTCCCTGGAGTTCCCCAAGACCTTTTATAGCTGCTGCAGTGTTGGCTACTTCTTGTTTCTTCCTGGGGGGGAAAAATTCAGGAGGGGGACAATGCAGCTTGATCCTACAGGCCATGAATTTAATGCATATACGATCCAGCCAGCTGTATTGCTTCAATGGTGGAAATTCAATGGTGGAGAAAGTAAGGTTCTGCATTTAGGCAAGAAAAATCAAACGCACAGGTACAGTATAACTGAGATGGATCTCAGAGTCCTAGTGGACAACCATTTAAATAGGAGCCAGCCATGTGCAGCAGCTGCCAAAAAAGCCAACACAGTCCTAGGCTGCATAAACAGAGGGATAGAATCAAAATCATGTGAAGTTTGTTAATACCACTTTATAAGGCCTCGGTAAGGCCACACTTGGAATCCTGCATCCAGTTTTGGTTGCCACAATGTAAAAAAGATGTTGAGACTCTAGAAAGAGTGCAGAGAAGAGCAAGAAAGAGGATTAGGAGACTGGAGACTAAAACATACGAACAGTTGCAGGAACTGGATATGTCTAGTCTGATGAAAAGAAGGACCAGGGGAGACATGTTAGCAGTGTTCCAATATTTGAGGGGCTGCCCCAAAGAAGAGGGAGTCAAGCTATTCTCCAAAGCACCAGAAAGCAAAACAAGAAGCGATGGGTGGAAACTAATCAGGGAGAGACGCAACTTAGAACTAAGGAGAGATTTCCTGACAGTTAAAACAATTAATCAGTGGAACAACTTGCCTCCAGAAGTTGTGTATGCTCCAATACTGAAAGTTTTCTATAGGTGAATTTCCTACAGGTAAAACCAATTAAGTTGGCCACACCCACCCAGTCACACGACTACCCAGTCATTAGGGCAGAGAACCGGTTAAATTATTTGAATCCCACCATTGATGTCGATGCTCCCAAACTGCCCCCACATTAGCCATTCTCAACATCGGGCAGTCATGTGATCACAATTTTATGACGATTTTGCTGAAAATTTTTCCGGCACTTCCGGTTTTTAGCAAGCAGGCCCACAGCAAACGATGGGTTTTTAACATAATGATTACCACACACACAAAAAGGTCATAAAATCAGGTTGGTCACTGCAACCATAAAAGGCAGGTTCCATTAGAGTCGTAAGTCGAGGACTGCTTGTATAGAAAAATGTTAACTCCCCATGCCAGAGTGTCTTTACATTTTCCTTCATTAAAACAGAATTCTCAGGTGAAATACCAAGGTGACATTTTCCCTGCTTTTTCTGAATAACTCTTCTTTGCTTGCTTTTGTGGCTTTTTGTATCCTGTTCTTGTCTGTTCCTTTGAAAAGATTGTATGTCTGTAGGTGCTTCTAAGCTTAACAAAGAGGTTTTGAGAACACCAGCCTGTGTCTTATTTATTACGTTTTGTTATTATTTGCTAAATTAACCTGTCGCCCATCTCCACAAGGAGTTGGCTAGGGTGGTTTAGAGAAACATAACGTGCCATCAAGTTTTCTGAAGGCTGCCTTGCAATTTTGCTAAACTTTGTGTGATATTCAACTACATTTAATGTTCATTGGAAATACTGAGCTACAAAGTACAGGCTTGGCCAAAACTTTATTCATTACAGGTAGTTTTTGACTTAGAACTATTTCTTTAGTGACTGTTCTAAGTTACAATGGCACTGAAAAAAAGTGACTTAGGACTGATTTTCACCCTTACAACCATGGTAGCATCCCCACAGTCACCTGATAAAAATTCAGAGGCTTGGCAACTGACTCATATTTATGACCGTTGCAGAGTCCTGGGATCATATGATCCCCTTTTGTGATCTGACAAGCAAAGACAACAGGGAAGCTAGATTCACTTAACAACCAGGTTCCTAACTTACCAACTGCAGTGATTCACTTAACAACTGTGTCAAGGAAGGTCATAAAACTTGCTTAGCAACTATCTATTCGGACTCAATTGTTGTCATAAGTCGAGACTACTTGTATGGTTTTGCTAAGCAAATTTTGAAACTACAATTTCATTTTTTCATCATTTTGGTGTGGCGTTTTAAATCCATATCGCTGTTGGAAATCATCAAGGATTTATGCTATATGAGACTCTATAAATGTGTTCAATTTCAGCTTAGTAATAGATTGGGGGAGGAGTAGATTGGAGGAGAAGGATGGCTACAAGTGTATGCCCACTTACAATAAAGACTATTAAATACAGTTAACTTTTTAAGAGAGGATGTTTTTTTTAAAAAAAGACAAATTTCAAAAATAAATTTTGTCTCACAATCTGTTCCCAGGAAATTATTGGGGGAAATCTCAAAAAACTCAATATAAGATTATGTAAGACTAACAGGGTATATCCATGCTTCACTATGAAACTATGTGATCGGGCTTAGTTTTGGGGGAGGAAAATAAAAGGGGTAAAATTCTGCCTCTGCCTACCAGCATCCATCAGTATTCATCTGGCTAGCATCCTGTCAGTATGTGAGAGAGTTGAGGGCTGTTTGGAAACTGAAACAGTATTTGCTGCGAGCAAGAAGGAGACAGCAAGGAGCCTGGGCGTGGCTTAGCTTAACTTCTGTAGTAAAGCTGGTGGCTGCTCTGAAACGGAAACTCCTCTGCTTGTCTTTTGCATTTGGAAGACACTTCTTTTCAAGTGGGGAGGTGAAGTAGAAATCATCATCAAGTGTGTTAATAATAATAATAATATAGGAAATACGAATGCTCTGATGGTCATTTCAAAAAATCCTTTCTTAGTGAGCGTTTAGAAGCCAAGAGGAACATAAGTGCCAAATCTCAAGTTTGTAGGCTTTACAGTTCTGGAGATTTTGTGATGATGCATGAGTGGTATTTCGCTTTTTTATATATATATATATAAAAGAAGATAAAAAGCTATATCTTCTGAAAGGAAACAAAACTGTAACACCTGGATTTATCTGATAAGCCTTAAATTTTACATCTTTTACTGAACATTTCATTGAGTTAGAGGTCCTCAATTTACAACAGTTCATTTAGTGACCATTCAAAGTTAAGCGACACTTTCAAAAAAAAGTTAATTAGGACTATTTTTCACACAACCATTCAGCATCTGCACGGTCACGTGATTTACGTTTGAATGCTTGACAGCTGGTTCATACTTATAACAGTTGCAGTGACCTGGGATCACATGATCCCCTTTTGCAACCTTTTGATAAAGCTAATGGGAAAGCCAGATTCACTTTATCAACCAGGTTACTAACTTATCAATTACAGTGATTCTTTTAGCAACTGTGGCAAGAAAGGTCATAAAATGGGGCAAAACTCACTTAACAAATGTCTCACCTAGCAACATAAATTTTGGGCTCAATTGTGGTTGTAAATGGAGGACTCACCTGTACTTATTTATTCAGCGCATTGTACCTCATTTCCACCAGATGGCGCTGCAGGACTTAAAGTTCCACGAAAAACCACACTTGTTCCTTTTCAGAACAGAACAGAAATGGACTCTCTATGTAGCCACACAAAGACTATTCAAAGTTATGAGTAACCTCCCCCAAAAGGTTCAGATGATCTATTCTGGAGCAAACACACACACAATCATGTGGCCACATTTTGAGCGCTTGGCAACTGGCTCACCTTTATTAGCTGGTTGCAAGTGTTCCATAATCACAATCAGTCCTCAACATACGACCACAATTAAAACCCAAAATTTCCATGAAGAGAGCTTTGCCCTGTTTTTCCCCACTTTATTTTAATTCCCTCCGAGCATTCTCTTTTGTATTTCAGGCATAAAATTACAGCTGGGGAACCGAACCTGGTTATGTCAATGGGATGAGAATGACCAGACAATTGTGGCTTATTTGGGGACCAGATTGGGGAACATAGGTTTCCCAAGTTGAAAGGAGGAGAAACATCTGACAAAAGTCCAATGGGAATCAAAAAACAATGGGCACAACTAGGTAGCCTTCAACTTTACAGCCACAGTTGAGCAAAATTTTCTTTGATAAACAAGACAAATGTTCATTGAGTTTTGCGCCATTGCAGAGCCTTTCTTGCCCCAGTTGCTGAATGAATCACTTCAGTTGTTAAGTTAGTCACAAGGTTGTTTAGTGAATCTCGCTTCCCCATTGACTTTGTTTGACAGAAG